TTAAGGCTTCATATTAATTAAGGTTATCTGACACTCTTATACTTTTTTTCTTTTAAACATGTTTATTAAATATTTTTATTTCCCCTGTGACGTGTCAAATATTTACCTTGTTCTGTGGTTGTTTTCTTTTTCTTTTTTTTTAATTTCAGAATTTTATGGGGGTACACATGTTTTGGTTACGTAATTTGCTTTTGTATAGTTTGAGTCAAAGTTATAAGTGTGCCTCTCACCCAGTTAGTGTGCGTTGTACCCGTTAGGTGTGAATTTACCCATCTCCTTGTAATTTTTTTTAATATGGTACTCAAACTTTCTTTCAAGCCTGATTTCTCTGTGCAGTTGTCTTTAACTGATTTGTGCTTTGTATGCCAATCCTCATGTGCCTCTTGGTTAGAAAGAAAGCAGGTCCCAAAGATTTCTAAAAATATCTTGAGTAATGGCAGTTTCATTGGAGAAAGCACATTGCCTGTCATTGTTTGAGATTGCATTTTATATCAAGGCTATTACCTTATAGTTATGAACTCTTTGATATGGTATTTTGGAAAGAACTTGGCAGGGGAATATGGGCAACTCAAGTTCCTTTTTTGAGTGCATCTACCTAATTCCTCTATTTTTGTTTAATTCCTTGCTTCATAGTTAATGGTTTTCCCCCCCTAGTTGTACCTATTTCTGCTATATTGTGGGTATGATGTACATTTTTGTGGGCTAATCACAGAATTTAATTCTCATTTATAAGTCTTTTTCTTTTTTAATGGAGTGTGTGTTGTGAGTTCTTAGAAAATTGCTCCCAAACAAATTTTTGGAACAGATTTGCTTTTAAGTTGGGAATAGCATCATTTTTTGTTTTGTACTTCTCAGAATTAACAATCTTTTATTGAATGTGCTAATATTATTTTTTTTCTTTATAGTGACAAATGAGTATAACAAATCACTGCTCTACAGTCCAGAAGAACCAAAAATACTTTTCAGTATTCGAGAACCAATTGCAAACAGAGTTTTCTCAAGCAGTCGTCAACGTTGTTTCTCCTCAAAGTAAGCATCCTAAGTCTAACTTGTGACTATTTTCATTCTTTTCATCATTACAAAGCACACTTGGTTTTAAGATTATTTAATTTCATTAAATTTGCTCAAACTTAATCTAGCAGGAAAAGTAGAACCTGTAAAACTAATAAGATATGCTAAGCTGGCTAAGGATGGTATTTTCTTTTAAATTTACTGTATCATTTTAGAGAAACTAAAGCTTAAGTGAATAAAAGGGTTATAGTTATTTAATTGGGTAATGTTGGTTTGTCGGTCTTTAAAAAATGTATCAGGACACAGTAGGATCAAATTAATCATTTTAAAAGAAGCCAGTTAGAAAGCAACTTTTTTTCATAAACTATGGAATAAAAGAAGGATAAACATTCATGTAAAACCTAAGTTGTATAGCAGTAAACCTTTAGAGTAGGATTCATTTCATTTTTTTTTTATTTGTTCTACTTCCTAGAGAAGGAGTCATTTCTTTTAGCTTTTCTTCTGCCTGTTGAATCTGCTTCACATTTTTTTTTTGAGAGGATATACAAAAATGAATATAATTTCTTAGTTTGTAAAGGTTGCCCAATATTCCAAACTAGTAAGAAAACTTACTATCATTATGAGAAAATGTCATCTATCTTATGGCAAGCAAAGACAGTTTAATTACAAACTACTACCTATACTATGCAAATTTTCTGTTTATGAATATACAGTTGATTTTTTTTCCAGGTAAGATGCTAATAAGAAAACTCATCTTAAAATTCACTTTATCATTTGAGAGTTAATTTTGATTAATCAACAAATCTATACTCAGTTTGGGTGAGACTACAAAGACTCTTTCAAAGATACATCCTTCTTATATTTAAATTTTTGCTATATAAATAGAAGAATAGCTTCATGACTTTGGTGGATGGAAAAGATTCCTTAAACATGTCATAAAAAGCACTTTAACAACAAAGGAGTGAAAAATTTAACTACATTAGAATTAAGAACTGCTGGTAATCAAAAGATACCATTAAGAGGCTGAGTGCAGGGCTTTACGCCTGTAATCTAGCACTTTGGGAGGCCGAGGCCAGCAGATTGCTTGAGGTCAGGAGTTTGAGACCAGTCTTAGCAAGAGTGAGACCTCATCTCTACAAAAAATAGAAAAATTAGCCGGGTGGGTGGGTGTATGCCTATAGTCTCAACTACTTTGTAGGCTGAGGCAGAAGGATCAGTTGAGCCCAGGAGTTGGAGGCTGCAGTGAGCTATGACAGCGCCATTGTACTCCAGCCTTGGTGGCAGAGCGAGACCCTGTCACAGAAAAAAAAAACAAAACCCAAAACCAAAAAAGAGATACCATTAAGAAAACAAAAAGAGGGAGACAAATAATTTGTAGGACCTATATCCAGTAGTGGGCTCACAGCCAAAATATATAGCAATTGCAACTTTACTACACCACTGTTAGGCATATAAAGCTTGGAAAATTTTATGGCAGTTACCTACCAAATCTGAATGTAGCATACATGGTGACCCAGTAATTCTAATTCCCCTCCAAGGTATATATCCAACAGAAATGTGTGCACCAACAGAAATGTGTGCACCGAAAAACATGCTCAAGAATATTCATAGCAGTACTACTCCCAATTGCCAAAAATCCAAAGGTCCATGAATAGTAGAAGAGATAAGTAAATTTTGGTGTTTTCATACAAGGGAAGTGTTTTCATACAAGGGAATTATTTTCATACAACATTGAAAATGAACTACATTGCTACTACTACATGTAATAACATGGATGAATTTCACAAACATACTAATGAGCAAAAGAAGCCAGACACTACTGTACATATTGTATTCTTCCATTGATATAAAGTTCAAGAACAGACCAAGCTATTACTACTGTCGTGATAGAAATTAGGATGGTGGGTATGCTTGGGGAGGAGGGAGCAGAGGTAGCAACTCGGAGAGATAGGGCAGTGCTATATGTTTAAGTGTATGATACTATCCTGAATGTTGAAATTTTGAGACTTTGATAATGTACCCATATATTTACAGTTACTAATTCTCTCATACTAAAGAACAACTTGATTTTTAAAATCAAGGCCAAATGATATGCTAGTTTAGATAAAAATTCAGTGTTTTAAATAGCCTATTATTTAGGGTTAAAAAAACTATTACTATTTAATGACATATTTCCTTCTGCTTAGGGTTTGTGTTCGTTCTCGTTGTTGGGACGCATGTATGGTTGTGGATGGAGGAACTTCTTTTGAGTTCAATGATGGAGCAATTGCTTCAATGATGATCAATAAAGAAGATGAGCTTCGAACTGTGCTTCTAGAACAGTGAAGGATTTCCTCATATGACAAATGTTGATTACTGGAAAAATATTTTTAAAGTGGAAACAGTCATAAAGCTACATTTTTTGATTATTGTTGGACTGATTGCTCCTGTGTTCAAAGGTGACAAAGAAAGTGAGATTTGTCTTATTTTGCTGTTATATTCAGATAGAAAAGAGAAGTTACTAGGTGTGTAAGAAAATGGATGGACTAAACTGATTAGAATTGATACCAGTGAAATTTCTGTATTGCTTGCAATTGGTAACCAAGAGTGCTGATATCTTTTTAAATTTAGAGAGGCAGGCTTAAATAAAGGATTAAATGTTTAGGATTTGAAATTTAACTGTATAAGTGTTTTTCCTTCCCTTTCCTCCTAACATTGTGGAATTGTCAGACCAAACACATATCATTTGACTAGTGCACATTTTTTATAGTACCTAAAGATCAAGATTTTAAAAAATTTTCATGGAGAGTTTTGATAAATTCTGACATTGACCTAATCGAAATAGGTAAATGTGTTTTTATATGTGCTACGAATTTTCTAATTTCAGAATACAGTGATGTTGTTATGATTCTGTTGATTTAAATATTTCAAACAATCATTTTTGAAATTATTTATAGATGAATGTTTTCAGTTGACATTTATTCTGGTTAATTTCAACCATGGGTGAAATACCTGTATCAGAACAAAATCATGATGCTGTTACAAATGTATTAATTATCCAGTAGCAGCTTTAGGGTCAATTTTTTAAAAATGATTTGAGTCTAATAGGTTTCTTCCAGCTTTAAAACTCTCAACATGGATTCAAGGCCTAAAAGGATGACTGATTAAACATTTTGTATTAGGAGTTTGTTAAAACCTTAAAAAATATTTTTATCTAGTGTTAGGAATATTGTCTGAAAGAGAATGGATGCTTTAGTAAATATGTAAAACACAGTAGTTTTGGAATTGCCTTACTTAGTAATTACGGCGGTTTTCACTTAGCTTATATTCCAAGTTTTACATAATAGCTTTATGGGATAAAATGTTGTTATGGCTTTTCTTTTTTCCCCATTGTGAGAATTCCTTTATTTTTGGAGGAAATTATTTTTAATCTAATTTTTGATCTACTTGTAATAGTAACCTTAGAATTTTTGCAAAAAGCTGTTGTTGCATAATGAAACAGTTGGTATTCTCATGCCATTTATTCCAAATCATGTGTTGTTTTTTTCACTTGCTGGTGAAAATTTTTGTTCTATCATTGACAAATATTTATTGAACACCCACTCTGTGCATGTGCTACTATGTCAGGTGCTAGATGCACATTGTATGAAACAGATTCTATCCTTATAAAATTTGAGTCTTGTGAGCTCAAAAGTAAATTCTGTGAAAGCTAGGATGGATTGTCAAATTGAGTGCTCTTAGTTTTGCCAACATTTAACATGTTATCAACTGTTTTTTATAAATGTTAGTGTACAAAGGTAATCTAGGTTTTGATGTATATCCAGAAGAATCAGTTTTTCTTTTCTTAGTTAAGAGTGTATATGTAGACACAGCACAAAATTTATATGATGCATTAGATAGAAATAAAAATAATGTTTTCCCAGAGCTGGATCTAGTTTCTGGCTCTTTTTTAATGATATATATATATATCATTTTATAAAAAAGTAAAATTCCGAACTACAGAAACTTACCTGACAGATATAAAATACCTCCTTGAAAAAAATGCCAACTCCATCTTTAATCTCCAGAAAATCTGTTTTTCCAAATGCTACCCTAAATCTGTTAATATGTAACATAAGCTGTATTATGTATTGTTCATAAGCTGTATTATTTTAAAAGGTTTTAAAAATACTTAATGTGTTCGAGTTGCAATATAATTTCTAACATTTCTGCTCTGTGGTGGGATTTATTTGTAAGAAATGAGAAGCAAATGATGTTAGAGTAGCTAAAGTGTTTTTATGAATGAGTTAACCTTTTAATGGCAACTATATGTGAATAAAATTAAACCATTGTTATGTCTTCTTTTTAACCTCATTTCTTATTTCCATAACTGTCATGGGGTAATTATTTGAAAACCCTGTTTTTCCCAACAAGTTTCAAAAGTCTTTTCCCCACTGCTTGTATTAATATTTTTCTGTGCCCTGTTGACTACGTTCACTTCTAACATTTGACACAGAATGATTTGTTATTTAATCAGCAGATAAAGTGCTTACCTGGTAAATGTAGACTCTTTGAGATAATTTTGACTTAATATTTTTGATACTCCATATGTATTTATATTCATGTCCACAGTACAGCAAATCATAATACGTTTTACTAAATGTATAGCCTTAACATACAAAAATTTACATTGATTTTGCTTTTTAAATAAGCAGAAGAGCCAGTTAACACATGATTTTTATTGCAAAATATTCACTTGAGTTGAAAAACTTGTCAAACATAAGTTTAAGGATACATTATGTATTGTTCAGATGTGAAAATAATGTAAATTTAGAATTTAAATCACTAAAAAAGTTCATCCCATTGTGCCAATGTAAGTTATGCATCCTTATACTTAAGGATAACATCTACCAAGACAATTGTGCAAAAGATTCCAGGGATAATGTTACACCTAATTAATATCATGAAATAAATATATATAGTGGTGTTGGTGGGGATCAATGTACTACCGAACTAAATAATAGTTCAATTTTATTTTTTCAAATGCAGTTTATTCTTAACATTAAAAATACTCATGAGGATTAAGGCATAAGTCAGTGAGAAGACTTAAGTTCTCTAAGGAAGGTAATGAGTTTTCAGTCTTAGCTTTAAGACACATTTTAAAGAAAATCACTGACTAAACAAGGAGGACCTAAATAGATTTTAATAGAAATAGGAAAGAATATTTTAAGTATTAATTTGAATACCTTAAATAAAATGATTTTAATGCTTAAAACTGCAATTTTGATATTTTGAGAAATATAAAAATACCAGCATTTAAATATTTAGATTCACTAAAATGTAAACATCATTAAGGCAAAACAAATCCATAAAATAAGTTTAGTACTGGCTTTTAGGGCTTTGACCTGTGTCTTGAAGAGTTAGTCTCTTGGTGAAGAGACCTTTTGACTTCCTGGGATATTTGGCTAGGTGGGAAAGAAGAGTGGTAAGGAAAGAGGAGTTTGCCTTTTTGCTTGCTCGAGGGTTAGGGTACCCAGGGACAAGGGGTTCATTCCTTCCTTTGCCCAGTCCCTAGACTACTTGCCTTTCCTTATGTGTTCTGCACCTTCTCTTGTGCTATTGCTCACACAGAATCCTCCATATTGTAGATGGTCAATAAATGCTGAATTGCAATTGCGTTCACCAGGATAGAAGGGACACAAGGACTTTACCCAGAAATAAAGGTGTGCACTTGGCCAGTGTCCCTCATATTTGAGGAACGTGTGGATAGGGTATAGGAGAGTGAGGAATCAAGGGTCCAAGAGAGGGTAAAGTGATAGCAGTGAAAATGAAAATGGAGACAGATGCTAACATCATAAAAATAAAGCCACGTGGAACATCTCTTAATGGAAGAACATAATGCTACTTACCAAATATCTCCTTGCTGAAGGAACTTGATGATACAACCCTCTAGAGTAGGATTTCTCAATGCTGGCACTATTGACATTTTGGACCAGAGAATTCTCTGTTGAGGGGGGCGTTCCTGTGTTTTAGTATGGTTAGCAGCACCGTAGCTTCACTGGCTAGATGCCAGTAGCTCCTCTCTTCTTGTGACAACCAAAAATATCTTCTTGGGGGCCAAAAATCACCCTCGGTCTAGAGCTTTTTGGTGCTAGATGTAACTACCAGTTCATGGAAATATGGGACAGACAGATGATTAACCTGTAAAGTGTCACTCTAGTGATAGTAACAGCAAAATCCAGGATGTGGGAAAGTATGAATGACCCAGTTTCTTCAATAAATAAATTACAAGGAAAAAAAGGGAAGGAATCCAAAGATTAAGATTTAGAGGCCGGGCGCGGTGGCTCACACCTGTAATCCTAGCACTCTGGGAGGCAGAGGCGGGCGGATTGTTTGAGCTCAGGAGTTCGAGACCAGCCTGAGCAAGAGCGAGACCCCGTCTCTACCAAAAATAGAAAGAAATTAATTGGGCAGCTAAAAATATATAGAAAAAAAAAATTAGCCGGGCATGGTGGCGCATGCCTGTAGTCCCAGCTACTTGGGAGGCTGAGGCACAAGGATTGCTTGAGCCCAGGAGTCTGAGGTTGCTGTGAGCTAGGCTGACGCCATGGCACTCACTCTAGCCAGGGCAACAAAGTGAGACTCTGTCTCAAAAAAAAAAAAAAAGATTTAGAGACTATCAATCAAATGTAATATGTGGACCATGTAAAAAAAACCATTGGAGACAACTGAGGAATTTTCAACACCATCCTGATATTTAATGCTTCAGAATTCATTCAGGAGAAGCGCTATGTTTCAGAGGTATATATTGAAATTATTTGTGAAATTACAGGTCTGGGTTTTGCTTCAAAATAATCTACATGTGTGGGGAGGGGGGCGGTTGAGATCATGAATAAAGTAAGATTGGCCAGGAGTTAATGATCGTTGAAACTGGATAATGGGGTTCATCATATTCTCTATGTTTTAACATTTTTCACCATTAAAAACAAAAAAGAAGGCATTGTAGTGATAATGTAAAAGAAGAACCAATAAAACTGGGTGATAATTGAAGAATCGCCATTCCCCCATTTGAATGGACGGGTTCAAAAGGAAGACCTCTGGGCACAAGATGAACTATTCAAATAGCTTCTGAATGACAATAAAATACATGGTATAAGCAGATCAAAGCCATATTTAAAAAGTGCTACCAGCTGGCTTTTATTCATAGTATTTGACTATCACATTAATCACTTGAATTCAAATGTTTTATAAATATGTTATTACTTTTGGAAGCATGATAAAGATAATAAGCCTGTATTTAGCACCTTTTCAAAAAGTATCGTAAACTATCATCTTACTTTGATAACAAGCATATGAAGTAGGTCAAAAAGGACGATTTTTAGAGCTCCCTTTTGATGGGTGTTACTTTAGAGGCTTCTAAGCTAACTGACACAGCACATTGAATGCTTTTTAATTTTAAACACAGTACTTAACAAAAGAAAAAGAAAAAAAGAATACAACTTAGCTGAAGTACTTATTTTTATAAAAATGTGTTTTATTTTAAAACCAGTCTATAAAAGTAGAAATCACATACAAAAATACAGATTACTCTGACATGTTGGCAAAATAGCTTATGGCTGGACTTGAGTTTGGAAGTACTGTATATTTGAGGGCATCCGGAAGTCAGAGTCCAAATGGGATCCTATCACCAGCCCTGGTCACTAATCTGTAAACAATAATTTCAAGTAGTATTTAGCACTTCTTAACTACTAAGAAATTGAAGCATAATCATTTCCTGTGTAACACTACTTTAAAACTTCCTTAGGTCTGAGCAGATAAGGGCACTTCATATTAGTGTATCTAACATTTAAAAATTTCGATTTAAAAAAAAATAGTTAATAGAAATGATGGGTTTTGGCTTTTTGTTGCATTTTAATTATATGAGGAGGTCATCAATTTAAACTCGTTTTTTGTGATTTTTTAAAAGCAGAATTTAATCTTTTTGCTTCTATGTACCACCTTTTTTTAAAAAAATTCACAGATGCTATCAAAAGTTTCAACACCTGAATCTTAACTTTTATGTAGGTACAAATAGTGCTTACTGCTCTGAAACTGCATGGAACATACCTGCTTCTAGTGTGTATTTCTGATTGAAGGGAACATGCAGTTCTTCTTAGAGAACGTTAGGTTCCATACCTTATAAAATGGATAGTTTCAGACAATTATTGTGAGACGATTAAAAAAAAAAGACAATTTAAAATACTTGATTCCAGAGTAATATAAAAATAACGTCAAGAACCTCAGCGCTAAAGGAAAACAGCAGGCAACTTCAGTTCAGAATTCTTCCATCCAACTTTTCAAGAATAGAGACTGGATTAATACAACCTTTCTAAAACAAAGCAAGTCATTGTAAAAGCTAAAGAACCCATGTTAACATAATTTGATTATAAAGTTAGAAAACCACAATTATTTATTCACCTAATTGAGAATTCTGAGAACACAGCACCTTAATGAACATTAAAGGATACTTCAAATTAACCTGTCACAGAAAATTGTCTCTAAGCCTTCAAATCCTATACCAATTCTATATGTCTGGTTGTTCTTTTATTTATTTGTTTTTTATTTAGGTTTTAAGGTGAATTACATGGGGCTATTTATTTCTATTAACCTAATTTCAAATCTAATGGCAAAATTGAAATGTACCTTTTTTCATATCCCCAGAAGAGATTGCCTCAAATCCTACTATCCTATGATTCACTTTCTGTTTAGCTTACAACACGAACAGCTTATTGTTTTTCCAAGCTATGTCTTATAAAGCAATATTGAAAAATTAAATAGATAAAAGATACCACATAGGCTATGAAGATTATTTGCCAGTGGTAATTTTTAAGCTTGATTCTGAATAGACTTAAGAAGCACACTTGGAAGAGGTGGCTCAAATTTTGTCCTTTAAAGTATCTTGAAATTATAGGCTCACTCTCCTAAAATTTCATAAGGCCTAGAACTTTGGCTCTTAAGAACATAGCAGTGACAGAAGCTTTTATAGTCATTTCAAAAAGCAACACTTCATAGTTTTCCCTCTCAAATGGTTCCCTAATATACTTGCAGAATGAAGACAAAGGGAAAACCAAGAATAAAACTAGCTGAGTATTCCACCAATTGGGCTTCCTGCTTATTTTTCCTGTTCCAAAAAAAAAAGAGGAGACACCATTCTGCAATAAATACTTCATAGACAATTGGGCTTTTGCAGTGTCAGTCGGCATTTGATGCCCCATATCTCCTGGTTCTTTTTGTTGCCAATAGTTGGCCTGGCAATGGTGGTGAAATGGGAGCAATTAATCTGTAGATGAGGAAGGGCTTCCTTCAACAGTTGAAGGGTACCATCTGGCACGATTCCAAAAACTTGTAGTGTTTTCAGTGTGGGAATTTCTCCAAGTTCACTGGAAAGGAAGAAAGAGACTTTCAGAATAGCAGTATCTACGGAAACTGTTCAACTAGAGTTATATGACCCAATTTTTACAGTTTGTATCATAAAATGCAATATGTAAACATAATTTGCAATAAATGATTTGAAAAAATAGCAAAGGTGTATCAAATTGGAAAGCACAGACCATATAGCTTGAGCAATATGGCCTTTCTAGGAAATACACTGGTGCATTTTGTTGAACGAAGCTCCTAACAACCTTAGCAACTCTGACGTTTATTTAAAATCCAACCATATTTGCTTCCTTTCTCCATTCTTGATTTATACAGTGAATATGAAAGGGGTTACTGTGTTGTGAGAAGAAACTAGCAAGAAAGTGATAGTAAATGTTATATCTTGGCATCAGTTGGAACTACCACAAGTTACATGCAATTTAAGGATATGGACTTGACCTTTATTTGAACTTTGCTCCATTTCTCAAAAGAAGATGTCAGCAGGGTTGATGAACTTAATAATGGTTCAAAGTCATAACATACAAGTCTGTTATGAGTGATGAAACCTACCAGTGACTTCCCTGTTTTAGATAGCGTTATGTAGTTGAGTACACATGGAGAAAATGGGTGACCAATCACAACCTTTGATAGGAGGCAATAGCCATCTTCACTGCTCTATAGGTTACCATTTTTTTCTGTCACAGGTAAGCCAATCCTCTTAGGGTATTTCACATTAAGTGAAACATAACTCTGTCAACAGTGAAATTCTGGTTCACAAAAAACGGAGCCGGTTTCTTCAAAGTAAATACTGTTTGATTTCGGTAATGATTCTTTCTTCTTAACCCAGATCTATGTGCCTAAAAATGCATCGCTCTGATCTGTATTTATTTGCTCCAGGTTGGGACATAGTACAAAGTCTCGGGAAAGGGAACATTTATTTTGGATTTTCAACAAAATTCCACTGTAGATCAATGAACACATCAGTGACCTAGAGTTAGAAGCATCCTCTTTATTTTCATATGGTCAATAATGACTTGAAAAACCTAACTTGCCTTATAATAACTGGCCTCCCATCTTTCTTCCTTTCAGGCCATTCTATATACCAATGTCCAATGTGTCCTCCTAAAGCCTAGCTCAGATTGTGTCATTCATATCTACTCTAAAACCTTTGACACCTGCCTCTTATTTACAGAACCCAGGCTGTTCAAGTGGCCGACTGTGCTCGCTTAACCTGTTCTTCCAGTTTTCCAGTCATCCCTCTAAATGTATGTGTTCTACATTCCACAAGGTTTCTTAAACACCACAGGTGTTTAATATATGTTAGCTGAATACAAAGATGAAGGTAATTTAGAAAATAAAAGCACTGTCCAAATAAAATATGCTTGTTCATAAAGGGACAGTAAGATCTGGAGATAAAACAGATCAAAAGAAAATCAGGCGGAATAAATTACTATCATTTTTCAAGAAAACTGATTTCTGGAATGTAGAAACAGGAGTATAAAAGAAAAGTCACAATACACAGACGTTTATACTTATCATTTAAGATGACAGTAATCCCACTCCAACTTTGAATGCCTCTTAGGTGAAATTTGAGAAATGAGAACTTTGTAATAACTGTGCGAATTCTGGTTCTAGGATATCCAAACCAGCCAAATTGTGAGCCATTCTGCAGTGGATAACATTTAAAAGAAGAAACCGTAGGTGGGAGTAAGAAAAGAAGGTATGGCAGATGGCAGACGAGGAAATGTTCTTGCAGCAGCATTGGGAAAGAGATTTGGTGAGGAAAGAAATTAAGACCAGACTCTCAGAGCCCACTTGGGTGTTATGTGAGAAGGAAGGTGTATGAAGACGGGATGATGGATAAAGGACCAGTTCCCAAGTCAAAAATCCAGAAAGTCTCTAAAATTTTGAGGAGGAGACACAGGAAAAAAAAAAAAAAGTCTCTTGGTACATGCACTACCTACAACACAGAACAAAAAATTTGTAAGCATCTTTTTAAAACTACAATGGAACAAGACTGAAGAGCAATCTAAGGGATAGCAAACAGAAATGAATAGTTAAGAGCTATTATTTCTAATTTAAGAAGTATAAAATGAAATCAATAATGTCTTAAGTTCCTTTGTTTAATTTTAGTAAATAAAAGATATTTATAAACTCTATCACACGTTTACTCCTCACCTCACCTACATAATCCTGTTTTCCATATAAAAGCTTAAATGCCGTTAAGTGCAAATCTCTTACCATAGGAGACTTCAGTCTCCCCTAACCTCAGATCAGTTTACGGTCTCCAGCTTGGGTTTCTTGCTTGAACAAGAAGTAGGGAATAATTAGAAGAAAGTTTAAATATAGGGAATAAGACCAATTAAGAAAGGAATAAATACAAGGGGAATAGGTCATGAGGAAGAAAAACCTACAATTTCCCAAGTATTTTATACATTATTATTACAGAAGACAAATTTTATTTTCTCACTTCTAAGATAAGAAATAAACAGCCTTAAATTCTTCGGTATACATGGCTCTCTGGAAATTACTGTTGAGGCAGCCTGGAATGTTTATAATGAATCTCAAATATATCAGCTGCCAGAATGACTGAAATTAGAGTCCTTCTAATTCTCATTTTATCTTGAGAAACTTTTAAAAGGATAGGGTACCAATAAACTCATCTTAAAGGATTCACATTATAAATCAACATATTAGGTTGGTGCAAAAGTAACTGTGGTTTTAGCAGTGTTGAAATTCGCTATTTGATATTGTAATACATTCTTAAATAAATGTAGCTATATTATACATGATTTTGATGCGCTCTTCTCGCTTCATGTTTCTTATGCTAATGACTTATTACTTGCTGTTTATTTTATATTTATTTTAGACTATGGAAATTTATTTTAGACAAAAAGCAAATTCCAGTGATTTTCTTATTTGCGTTCAAAATGGGTCATTAAGCAGCAGAGACAACTCGCAACATCAACAATGCATTTGGCCCAGGAACTGCTAATGAACATATAGTGCAGTGGTGGTTCAAGAAGTTTTGCAAAGGAGATGAGAGCCTTGAAGATAAGGAGCATAGTGGCTGGCCATTGGAAATTGACAACGACCAATTGAGAGCAACTGTTGAAGCTGATCCTCTTACAACTACATGAGAAGTTGCTGAAAAACTCAATGATGACCATTCTACGGTTGTTCAGCATTTGAAGCCAATTGGAAAGGGGAAAAAGCTCAATAAGTGGGTGCCTCATGAGTTGACCAAAAATCAAAAAAAATCATCATTTTCAAGTGTCATCTTCTCTTTTGTATGCAACAATAACGAACCATTTCTGGATCGGATTGTGATATGCAATGACAAGTGGATTTTATATGACAACTGGTGATGAACAGCTCAGTGGTTGGACCAAGATGAAGCTCCAAAGCACTTCCCAAATCCAAACTTGCACCAAAAAAAGGTCATGGTCACTGTTTGGTGGTCTGCTGCTGGTCTGATCCATTGTAGCTTTCTGAATCCCAGCGAAACCATTCCATCTGAGAAGTAGGCTTAGCAAATTGATGAGATGCACTGAAAACTGCAATGCCTGCAGCCAGCATTGGTCAACAGAAAGGGCCCAATTCTTCTCCATGACAACCGCGTGTTGCACAACCAACGCTTCAAAAGTTGAACAAATTGGGCTAAAAAGTTTTGCCTCATCCACCATATTCGTCTGACCTCTTGCCAACTGACTACCACTTCTTCAAGCATTTTGACAACTTTTTGCAGGGAAAACACATCCACAGCCAGCAGGATGCAGAAAATGCTTTCCAAGACTTCATTGAATCCCAAAGCATGGATTTTTACACTACAGGAATAAACAAACTTATTTCTCCTTGGCAAAAATGTGTTGATTGTAACGGTTCCAATTTTGATTAATAAAGTTGTGTTGAGCCTAGTTAAAATGATTTAAAATTCATGGTCTGAAACTGCAATTACTTTTGCACCAACCTAATATTATTTACATAATGCCTAAAAAAACCCATACTCTTTTACCTTAAAGTTAAAGGACACCACCTTCTTCTTCTCACTCTATGCCAGTGGGGTGACTTGTAACTAAACTCCTGATGCCCCTGTTTCTCTTATTTCATGATAAGATTTAGACAAGTAAAAAATAATAACGCAGTGAAGGTTCACACCTAGGTCTGTAACTTCAGGCCCATTTTCTTAACCATCAATTCACACTACCTACAGGTATTACTATGCGATTATTATGCAGGTACTGCTATTACCATTATTACTATTATCCCACTGAATAAAAATACTAAAACGTGAGGGCTCACAGCCTCTGACTGAAAAAAAGCATTTGGGTTATTACCTGCTTAGCTTCTTCCTTTCTGCAGAGAAGGAACAAAACCAAGAAACACGGATATATTCTCTTGAGAAAAGCAACCAGAAAAGAATTATCACCACACTCCCCAGGGGGCTGCACAGGCAAAGAAGCAGGAGCCCAGATGGCAAGGACAGGAAAGAATGGATGACAGAGAAACCTTTTTGGGTAGATGCTAGAAGTTCCTAGGAGTTCTGGATGCTAGAAAATAGAGAGGGCGGGAATTTCAATGAGTTCCATGTATATGAATCTAAACCCCGACATCTGAGAGCCATCTAAGTAAATGCTGGCATCCTTTTTAGGCAATGCTTTTCCAAATGAGATACCAGCTCAGGCCCGAGCCCCAAGATTAATTACAATACATAATTAACAGATTTCCTAATTCTACTAGTTAACCCCATGCAGCTAAAGAATCTGATTTTAATTCATCAGTTCTTGAAACTAACTTATAAGATCCAAACCATTATTTTAAAAAACTAAATAAATTCTCACTCAATTTACCACCCTTCTCAAGTAGGAACCTGCAGCTAAATTACTGTCATTTAAATGAGTTCAGCAGCTACATTCAGGGCCTATTGGCTGTAGAAAGAGAGAGCAACTGACCAAGGCCAAGATACTGACCTCTGGTGGTTTTTAATAAAATTGCTTCACATTTACATTTGACATTATGAAGACTTTTCCAGGCCTTTAGAATGAAATAAAGGGAACCATTTTAAAAAGAAAAAGATGATATTATTCCCAGGATGACTTGGGTATAGCACTTCCTGAAAGAAAGATGGATGGACTAGACTCCTTTTTTCTTTGCACTCCCTTGATTCTGTGGAGTTGCTGAGCAGGCAAAATTAATCCTCATATGAGCCACCAGATTAGATACAGAGTATTTTGCATCTGCTCAGGAGATATAGGATCTAGACCTAGCTCAGCTGGTAACTCACCATCAGGTTTGGATAAGTCACTTCACTTTTTTTAGACCTTAATCTCCTCCCTGTTCACCACCTACATGCTTTTATTCTTCCCATTCCTTGACCATTCAGGACATACATCACTAGAAGGTACAGAATTTTTCCTTTAAGCCCAGATGAAGGCTTTGAAAATCAACTGAGTTGATGTGGAAAATCTGAGTGGTGGTAGAGGGAAAAACACCAGAGACACCAACCCACAGACATTGGGTCTGCCTTCCCAATTACACTCTGAGTTCCTAGGAGGTAAAGGTTATCCGCATCTTTTCCAGGTCCTCCACACATACTAATAAGATATGCTAGTAATTAAAACTGTTTACAGCTAAGTAATAAATGTTTAGTGAATGATCTCAGTCAACCCAACTTTACAAGACATTTTAAGCAAAACACTCTGCCCTGGTTTATTTTGCTGGTCTTTCCTGGCTAGTTTGTGGTATACTAACATTAATATTTCAGTTTCAAATGTCTGCTATTAATAATAATGGATTTTAACACCCGGCATCTATGTTGGTTCCTGCCTTCTATTAGCATTAAAAATAAAGCATACTTACAGTAAAGTTTCTGGTATTATATCATAGCATCGACTGAGTGATAGGTGTTGGAGGTAGTTGAGCTGGTAAAATTCCTGAAAGCAGTCATTCTTTAGCATGACACTATCACTGTAACAGAGCAGAAGAAAAGATATTCAAAACCACCCATCAATTGTAGATGGAGAAGATAAAAATAAGCTACTGCTTAGTTCCTTCAATTCGACATTAAGATCCGTTCCCCATTTAATGAGAAATCCAGATTTTTCAACTTTTGATCTAAAATAAACAAACAAAAAAATACCTTAAGTCTAGGTGGACAAGATTGGGACATCTTCTAACTAAAGTAGAGACATCTAGGAAAAACAAACAAATATGATGGTCACTATTAAATGAGGAACAAGACAAAGATATTTGCTGTCACTACTATCATTTAACATTGTGCTAGAAGTGTGAACAATGCAATTAGAGTTGTACACTATTAGAAAGATTATATGATCATCTTGGCATATAAAATTTTCTACCCAAAAAACCCAAGAGAATCATGTGAAAAACTACTGGAAATGTAAAATGACTGGTTAACAACAATCCTTAGCTTATCTATGTATCAGCAATAACTGGCTGGAAAAATAATGGAGAAAAAAAATCCCCTTCACAATAGCAAAAAGCAAAACCAAACACTAGAATATATACATAATATATTATAAAGATGGTACTTTAAATCAGTGAGGGAAATCATGGATTATTAAAATATTGCTACCAGCACTGGAAAAAATTATTTCTCCAACTCAAATAATATATCCAAATAAATTTCACGTAAGTTCTAAATGCAAAAATATGGGTAATTACTTATTGAATCTTGGGATAGGTAAGGCATTTTTAACATAGAAGAAAACATACAGGTAATACATACTTAAATTTATTTATTTATTTATTTTTACTCCCATACTTAAATTTAATATATAAAATTTTTAAAACAAAGTAGTAACAGAAAATTGGGAATAAGTGTTTTCAACATTCATTAAACAGAGAGTTAAGTCTTATACATATAAAGAGGAAAGAAAAGATAAACAATAGATTGTAGGCAAAGAATATGTAACAGTGGGAGGGCGAGGCAGAAGGATCGCTGGAGCTCAGGAGTGCGAGACCAGCCTGAGTAAGAAGGAGACCCCGTTTCTACTAAAAATAGAAAAATTAGCCAGGCACGGTGGTGCATGCCTGTACTTCCAGCTACTGGGGACACTGAGGCAGGAGACTTGCTTGAGCCCAGGAGTTTGAGGTTGCAGTGAGCTATCATGACCTAGCCTGGGCGACAAGAGCAAGACTCTGTCTCAAAAAAAAAAGAAGGTGACAAATCTAATTTGTAAAATACAGATAATAAAAATGGAACAAAAACTATGAAATAAAATTAGAAATGTAGTTTTTCAGCCATCAAATGAAAAGAAATTCTATTATAAAGCAGCATCCCCCCACACCAAGTGAATATTTAGCTTTATGTACAGACTCAGAAGGCTGAACCGATTTGTTTTTTTTTTTTAAAGAATTCAGAGCCTTACACATTTTGCCTTTTGGTTCAGTAATTTCACTTTTAGAAAAATACAGATGTGTGTGAACATATTCAACGTAACAATAGTTAGAACAGCCTCTCCTTCAATTAGTTTAATATAGTAACCTCATCCATTCCATGGATACAGTGCTAACTGTTGTTCTTAAAAAGTTTTTTGATAACATTTCATGACATGAAAAAATACAAGGAGATATTGTATAGTAAACATAACAAAATATATACAAAGTTCTATAATCTTAATTTAGTCAAAACCCACACACACAGACTCAAATTTACACACAAATGCACCCACTAAAAGAAAGAGAGAAAGGGAAAAAAAGGCTGGACAGAAATATACCAAAATGTTAGCTGCGGTGATCAAGGGTGCTGGGAGTACAGGTAACTTCAGAATTTGGAAGAAAGTCATGTGAGCTACTTTCTATTCAGAAAATGAATCAATAGATGTAAGTTATTTAAAACAACAGGCAAACTTCATTAACGTTTAAGGGTTTTTTTCCTTCTCACAGCTGTATCTTCAACTACATCTCTTCCCCTAAATCTTGGACTTGCATTTTGAACTGCTTCAGCATACCACTGGGACATGGGACAGGCATCCAAATTTATGTCTAAAGCCAAATGCTCAATCTCTCCCCTCAATCTGCTCCTTCCTTAAAACCTTTCCCATTTCAGTAAGTGACAACTTCACAAATCCAGTTGCTTGGGCCAAAACCCTTGGAATTGCACTTAACTGTTTTTCTAACATCCCACGTCCAATCTGTCATCAAATCCTATTATGTCAGTTTTCAAAATGCACCCCGAATCTTATCATTTCTTACCACCTTAAATGTTACCACCCTAATCTCCTAACTGGTCTCCCTACTTCATACTTTCTCCCCTACAGCCTTTTCTCAATGTAGCACTAGAGTGTCTTTTAAAATTAAGTCAGATCATAACATGGCTCTGCTCAAAATACTCCAACAGCTTCCCATCTGACTCAGAAAAAATCCAAAGCTTTTGCCTTGGCTCACAGAGCCCTTAGCTATCTCATCTCCTTGCTCAGTATCAAGGCCTTTTGCACTTGCTGATCCTTTGTTCCAGAATGTTCTCTTACATATCCATATGGATTCCTCTTTCACTTGATCACCTGTTCAAGTGTCCCTTCCTCACAGAGGCCCTCTCTTTGACCACACCACCTAAAAACAGCCCCCTTTCTGCCACATTCTACCTGCTTACTCTGCTTTATTTTTCCTCCTTGCATTTTCACCTCTTTTCATAACATTTATTCATTGTCTGGCTCTTCCACTAGAAAAGTAAGCTTCACAAGGGTGACTTGCCCTGTCTTATTCAAAGCTACATTTCCTGAGTCTGGAACAGAGCTTCATGCATTACTCAGCAAACATTTGTTTAATGAATGACCAAAATATGAAGAAAGTGCACAGTAAAATTTTGAGTGACCGATCATCTAGCCAGCCAACTAGCCATCAACAAAATTAGATACAATCTTACTCTGATACCACCGCAGAAAGAACCAAACACTGGGGATAAAATTGGTTAGTTTCCTTCTCTGGCCTTCATTTTAGCCCTGTCTTCCCTTGGCAGGAAGGGTTAGTCAACAGTAGTTAGTACCAAGTGTCGCTGCTTCCTTCATTTTATCACAAATGGTAGATCCACTTGAGCTAGGAGGGATCTTAGAAACCATAAAATCCAACCCATCACTTCAGAGGAGAGGTGGTTTTGGCCATAGACGTCAAGGTCAAATCCAAGACCAAAGCTCAGTCTTCCAGGACCCTGTTCACTGCTTGTTCATTGCCCCATGGAAAGGTAGTGATGGAGGAAGGGGCAGTAATAACGGCCAACAGTAACTGAACTCTACGTGCCAAGAAGTGCTCCACATGTATTAACTCATCTGTTAATTAACTCGTCTGTTCTTTACTGTAACTCTAAGAAGTGGGTTCTACTTATCTCCATTTTATTGATGAGGAAACTGAGGAACAGATACGTTAAGCAACTTGCTCAAGGCTATCCAGTAAATGTCAGAGTAAGTATTTGAACTCAGGCAGTCTGGCACCAGTCTATGAGTTAAACCAACGTCAGACTATCTTATTTCATTATATATAATGAAATAGTGTGTGCTATTGTTAATGACATAAATGAAAAAATTTTTTATTCCCATTGTATAATTTAAAAACCTAGCACTTCAACTTACACACACTGTCTCTTCACCCTTGTCCTCAATGTGTCTAGCAAGTGGGATTTTATTATCTACTATTTCTGCCAAAACTCAGTAAACAGGTTCTCTTTCTCAAGGAACAAAGAGAAGAGTTTTAAGCCAAATGGCTTAATTAACGGCAGTTCGCCTAGAGCGGTTTCTCAACCTTGCACCCGGGGCCTCAGTTCATTTCAGAAAAACCTTTCAACAAAGTAGTGCGAGATCCAGATGTGGAAATGAAATGTAAACAGGGCACTGCCTTCCCTTCCCTTGTGAATGAACACAGAAGAACCATGAGTGGTGGGATTCCACATGAAGAGGATGCTTGTGGGTGGGAGTTTAAACTCCTTGGAAGGTAATTTGGCAAGCTTGAGAATGATGGCCAATTGTTGACTCTACTTCTAAGCAATTCCACTTTTAAGAATCCATCCTTATACATGCACCCAAAGATTTCTCTTTGTCCATGATAAAGTTGTTTATAGAAGGGAAAAACTGGAAAGACTCCAAATGTCCATTAGATCAGCTGCATAAATCATGGCTTTAATATAAATTATTCCATATCTATTTGATGGAATATCACATAGCCACTGAAAATGAAGTTATCCAAAAAAATAAAAATAAAATAAAATAATAACATATTTACAAAGTATTTCACACACTAGGTCTCATTTTTAAAAAACACTTTTGTACAGGAAAAAGACTGGCAAGATGTTGGATTACAGTGATTTGTTTCCTTTTGTGTTTTTCTATATTTTACATATTTTGAGAATGACTGTGTAATATTAGCATCAGATTTAAAATAGTGTTTAAAGGGAAAAAATGTAGGACAGAAGTATTGGGGCGGAGGGAGTGGTAAGAAATCAAGACATATTTGCTGCTTTTAAGGATCTGTAAAGAAAATGTTCCCCTTGTCTGAAAATGCAAGTGTTTGGAATGGCAGCAGTCCAGATCCGAGTCCCTACACAGGCAAAGGACTCGGATCACTGCCCGCTCGTGAGCCTCTAGCTATTGTTTTCTACAGCCTGATATATATCTTACTTACCAGAGGACACAGCATGTCCTGGAGAAGTAGTTTTCAAATACTACTTAAATTTTAGGATATATTCAGCAAATGTTTGATTCAAATCTTTTTAAGTACAATAAAAACTCTAATAAACAAAATACATATACTCAAATGAGCTAGTACCAATATCAAGACATCAAAATATGGTTGATGTGTGTTGCTAGTTAAAACCGGTTTCGTACAGCCCACAGACTGAATGTTAGCCTGAGTTGGCAAGGTGAAGCCATAAAAAAACTTGCATTTGCAACCGCTTGTCTTTGTAAATTTCTCAATATTATACAAACAAAACAAAGCATAACCAAATGTTAAGCTTTATAAAGATGGTAACTGTTACACACTTCTCCTGACTTCAAATGCCTGTATTCATTTAAACCATCTCATTGCCCTCTTAGACTGAATTAAAAAGTAAAAGTCATAAATATGAACTTTTCAACCTTGGTACTACTGACATTTGGACCGGATTATTTTTTGTGTGCTATTCTGCTGTCCTATGCAGAGTTTAGCAGCATTCCTGGCTTCTACCCACTAGATGCCAGTAGCACCCCTGCCACTGTGACAGACATTGCCAAATGTCCCCTTGCGGGCAATATTACCCCCAATGGACAACCACTACTTGATACTAACCAAATACTGCATTTACTTATTTTTATGTTGGGGTTTTATCTAATAATTTAGTTGATTAAAAGTTCTTCTGCTTAAAAATAAATTGTTTCCAAATATAAAGGTTTCTACTTCTGAATCCTGGGTTCAAATCTTGACTAGCTCACTAGCTGTTCACCTTTACCTAACCCTTCTGGTCAGCAGCTACCTCATCTGAAAAATGGGAATAACACATGCACTGGCTGAAATGAGACAACTTATGCAGAAGAGCACTGACGAGGCGCTCCATAAATCCAATCTGTTATTGTCAGTAAGGTCCCAGTGGCCCAGGCCTGGAAGCTCTAACCTGATTTCTGGAGATTCTTTCGGTAGCCACTAAGATTCAGCTGGGTGATGGTGTCTGATACGTGCGCGACAGCAACTTGCACGTGCTTTTCAGTGAAGTCATAACACCAGGAGAGGTTCAGCTCATCCAATCTGCACAAAAGAGGAGAGTATGAAACCATCACACAGGAAGGTGCTTGCATTAGGCTGCAAGTAAAGAAAATACAAAGCTACTAACTATGCACGGAACCCCTGCTTCTCTAGCAACAGGTACCTTTGCTTACCTGAGCCTGCCCAGTTTGCCCCTGAAAGTTGTCAGTGGATCAGAGCAAAGGCCTCAGTGAATGCTGCCCCCTTCTGGAAATGAAAGGGAGCACCTTCTTCTCCCAACGGCTCAAACTTCACTCCAGGACACGAAGGTAGAAATTCTAGCCGTTATGTTTTCTTTCTTAAGCCACCACCAACCACACAGACTAAGCAATTGCCCAAGATGTTTAAAAAAAAAAAATTGACGTATTGCACTGGGGATTCCTAATAAAGATATGCTGACATTGCAAAAAGCCACTTCATCTTATTGTGCCTCTGTTAACTGAGCAAATGAGGGTTTCAGAGAAAATGTCCAACCATTAAAGCCACTCTCCACTTCCTGGCACTGCTGACTAAATGTAGGAGTATACATTTTATCTCACTGATAAAATTCTTACTCAAAGGCAATCTATTTCCAACAAATCATTAATAAGATACAGGTACAAAAATGCTGTACCACAGAGACCAAGAGATACTTAAAAAAACACACATACACATAGTACTGTGTATTCTATAAACCATGTATCTTACTTAGTAATATCTGTAACTCAATACCCTTTACATGGTGACATTATTAATAAAAGGCGTTATTAATAGAATGGTCCAAATTTATGATCTATATTTACAATGCAACAACTTGATCAAAAACTGTAAGTGAGGTCTACAGATATTGTTGGAAAGAAACCCGGCAGTATAGTCAAGTGTAAACAGATTTCTTTCAACCATAGGTTGATAAACACGCTCCTGAGTTTAGAAAAAAGTTTGGAGGGTAAAGGATTTTACGTTATCCAAATCAAGAGCCTTGAGAATTAAGAATGGCTCAAAAAGTTTATCCAATTCTATTCGGATGTGAGAGATGATTGTACATTTGATACACTAGTTCTATAATCAAGTCTCAAATCTTTCCTACCTGGAACAGCTGCTTAGCAAAGTCTTCAGGGCAGATTCAGAGAACCCAGAACACCCAGAAAGGTTTAGTCGTGTTAAATTTGAGTTCTGCGCGAGATTACTGGAAAAAAAGAATATTGCCAGAGGAATAAGACCAATAAGACACTCTTATTTGATCAATAAACATTTGAATAAAAGCAGGCTAGTGTATGTAAGTGCACAGGTCTTCTCGTAAAGTGAGTTTAAAATTCACATATCGGCCAGGCTCAGAGGCTCATGCTTGTAGTGACAGCACTTTGAGAGGCTGAGGTAAGAGGATCGCTTGAGGGTAGGACTTTGAGACCAGCCTGGGTGACATAGCAAGACCCAGTCTCCACGAAAAATGAAAAAATTAGCCAGGTGTGGTGGTGAGCACCTGCAGCCCCAGCTACTTGGGAGGCTGAGGCAGGAGGATCACTTGAGCCTAAGAGTTCTGCAATGAGCTATGAATCCTGCCACTGCACTCTAGCCCGGGGAGCAGGGCGAAACCCTGTCTCTAGAAAATAAATAAATAAATAAATAAAATCCACATATCATTATCTCTGTGACATCAAGCTTTGCCACAGTTTACTCATCTGTGAAATGGCATTATCAGTACCTTCTCGGTAGAGTTATTAAGATTAAATGATATACTGTAATAAATGACTTAGCACAGAATAAATGTGTAAGAAACATCAATCAAGGTACTTTTTGAATTTAAAAAAAGGCAATGGAATAAACATATATCTATTTCACCCATAACTGGAATTCGCTTGTAGACAAACTTCTACTTGTAAAATCACCAGGTTCTTTTGATTAAATGTCTCTCAAATTTGCCCTCTCTTCTATAACATTCCCAAATGTCCTAACTTAGTGAAACTTAGTGATTAACAGCAAGAATTCTGAATTATTATATTGCCAGGTTCAAATTTTAGTTTGGCCGCCTCCTAACTGTGTGGCTTTGGACAAGTTATTCAGTCTCTCTGGGTCTCATTTTCCACATCTATAAAAAGGAAACAATAAGAACATACTTCATTGGGTTGTGGTCAGAATGAAATGAGAATATACTTGAAGAACTTAGTACCTGCACATACTAAATGCCCCAAACATGTTAGCTGCTATTATATTTTTTATATCAGGTTTCATCTTTTCTCGAACACTACAGTATCCAAACTACCCTAGTTTCTTCTATGTCTGATGGACCCTGCATGGTGCCCAGCCAGTTAATTTTCCAAATTCCAATTCTGACATGTTCCTTCCATTCTCAGAACCACTCTCTCCACCATGCTTCCCTCTTTATAGCCTAACACAGGGTCCAGGCTTCTTACAATGTAGCATAAAGGCCCATTATAATCTGTTCTCTGACTCTGCTCAGCTCCTGTCACTTCCCTCCCTGAGTCTTATGCTCCAGCAACTTCCAACTACTTAAGAGTTTAGAACCACACAGACACCTTCACCTAGGCTGCTTCCTTTGTTCTGTCACTTGGAGATCTCCTACCTGGATATTCTTAATACTCAGCTTAGGAGTCACTTCCTCTGAGAAGGCTGCCCCACCTAAATTTAATTAGGTCTCCTGTGTGTGTTGCCACATAATCACCAATGCATTTAATAAACGCACTACCCAGTAATTATCTCTCTCTCCCATGAATGAGACAGGGACCATGCAGTGTTCATCCCTGTATCTCCAGAACCTAGCATATAGTTAGCATTCAAACTTGTATTGCCTCCATGAGTCCTGGAAAGTTCTGCAGAAGTTGGAGCACTGCACTAGGTATTTTCTATGGCCTTCTAAGGATAGAAGGGCATCCTAGTTATATACGGGGAACAAAATTCATACCCATAAAAACCACTGCCTTTCTGACATGCTCTGGCTGCCACTCACTTGACAACGGGATCCGAAAGCCGCAGGCCTTCCAGGCTTAGATTCTGCAACTTGGAGCACTGAGACAGAATGCCGTGGAGGGTAGACACATCTATGACCGAGTTTGACAGGTCCATGTGCTGTACACGAAAAGGGCTGAATGCAGAAGAAAAAAAAGAGGCTCCATAAGGTGGCTCTCACAGGTACATCCAGATCAATCAGACCCCTTCTCCCCAAATGAGCAGCCAATGACAAAGAAGACCCTAAATACACATTTCAAGTATTGACTATAGTTTTGGTCATAAAACAAATTGCTATCAGCTTATTCTCAGCCTCACTCAAATTCTAGAGGATTTTTGCCAAGTGCAGATGTCTAGAGGATTTTTGCTAAGTGCAGATGCCAATACAGTCCCACTCAGAAAATTAATAAGTGGGTATGATGGAAGTGAGCTGGATGTGGGTGACAAGGAGGTTAAGGCTGTAATGACTGTTTTTGGGAGGGGGGTAAATGGGTAAGTGGCACTGGTATTTACTAAAACAGGGAAGATAGTGGAAGAGCATGTTTTAAAGGGAGGCCAAGTTTGATTTTAGATATGCTAATATTGAAGTAGTTAGAAGAAATTCAGGTGCAGAAGTTTTTAGGTAATTTGAAATTTGGGAGTTTGAAAGAGAGGGCTGAGCTACACATGAGGAACTGAGTGTCCTGGGTATAAATGTGGGTACATAGGACACAGTTTGCCCAAGGACAGTAAGAGTATTAAGAAGAGAAGGCAGCCATAAACATTCATATTGCAAAATTACCAATAACAAAGAAATATTTTTTCAAAATATTCTACAAAACAAAAAGAGGGCACTCTTTTCTGATTGTACATTTTTCCATGATAGGATCTGAAACCCCAAGCTACTAATCTGAAGACTCCTCAGACTTCCATTTATCAGAAACAGGCAGTGGGGAAATAACTAGGCAGCCTTGCATCTGCAGGGGAAAGCTCTGCTTGGCTCCTGCCCAGAGGGACTCACAATCCCATCTACTGAAGACCAGACCTGAGAAGCTAAATGTGCATCTTTAACCCTGGGAAGAGCTTGACAGTAATCCTGAGTGAAATGGGAATGGTGTCATTGACACCTGCGCCAGTTTCAACACAAAAGCTGCATAGCAAACCATGCAATTAACATCCCACACTGGCACAGGCTGTAAGGCTGGATAAAGAACAAAAGAAGTTTTGATCTGTTTGTACCTCAAGATTTAGAAACAGACTTTTCTGGGGATTTTTCTTTTTTACCTGAAATGTTCAACCAATGGTTGGTCCATAAATGATCGTGGGCAGCGGAAGGCAACCACCCCTCGAGACAGCAACCGACCAGTCACGTCTGGGTGCAGATTTTTACCTGTGAGGTCCAGGGTCTGCCATAGAGACTCATCAAACCTAGAAAAGAGGAGGTGGTTAATTTGGTCAGTTGCCACACTGAATGCTAGGGGCCCTCAACAACATTGCTAATGAGGACACAGCTGCTAAATCTTCTTAAAGCACATTCTGAAGGAACTTTTGTTTTTAATCTGACTATAGATTAATAATTAGCTGTGATATTTTTAAAGCACTATTGACTATTTCTTGGTCATATTAGAGAAAGCTTCCATCTTTCTCTTTCTATGTAGAGAAACTTCTATATAGAGAATTAGAGAAATTTCTTCAGACACTATTGACTATTTCTTGGTCATATTAGACAAAGCTTCTATCTTTCTCTTTCTATATATTTCCAATTTAGATGGTTCAATGCTAACATTAGCACTGCGATGATTTAGACCCAGAGAATAATATGCCAGCATTCAATTCGACAAATTTAAAAATAATTGTTCAAATTACTTAACTGATTATTACTAGGTGAGTAGGTTCAAAACTTCTTAAAGGATACCACTTGCTGCTTTTGTTATGCATAAACAGGTTACCATAGTTACCTAACATGTAAATACTGCTCAAGGAAGGAAAGTTAGCACTATTTTATTATAAGATATGGCTGTCATAGATACCTACTGGGACAAAGTAGTCATATTTTAGCTGTGCTTTCTAACACCTTTTAAGCTTAAAACCGAGAGCACTCAGTGTGTACACATATGTATGTATGTGTGATGTGTGTGTGTGTATGAACTAATGTGAAAGGAAATGGTGAAAATTTATTGGATTATGGATAGTGTTTCTAAAGCAAATGGGAGGATCCAAAAATGTGCTGAACACCACAATAAGGGAGTTTTAATATCCACAGTTGAATTCAATAAAAGAAAATGTGGAGTACAAGCATATGAGGGAACAGTTTAAATGCTTAGGTGTATTAAAATTTTCTTTTTAAATAGTTCTTAAAAATAAGTGGACCACTGGCCAGGGTTATAAAATAATTACATCACAAAGAAATTGTCAGTGTGTGATTTGACCCCTATTATTTAAAAAGTAGATTGTAAATAAGAGATTCTTAAAAGACTGGCATGCTTTTATATGTTTCTCTCGCCCAGACTCAAATCCATTTTGGCTTCCAAGGAACTGATACCAGGTCAGCATTGCTCTGGTCTCAAATCTCATGCCAGATGTTTCCTCTTGCAGGGAGGTAAACTATAGCCTAACCAGCATTCAGTAACAATATGGGAAAGGTTTTGGAATACTCACTTTCTTCCCAAATAACATAGATCTTTAGGAAGATGAATATATCACAGGAGGATGGACTCAGGAGCTACCTGAACCCTAAACCAAACATAGCTAGGTACGGTGCTACAGTTAAGGCTGTGGAGTTAGCCAGACCTTAGATTCCTCCTTGACTACTTATCTCTCAACCTACTGCTCCTGGCCCTGTAGTCTCCGGGTCTCTAAAACTGAGATGACACGAACACAGTCACTTAAGGTCATATGGGGGATTAAGCTGTAAACACTGCCTGGCCCATAGCAAGTGCTTGATAAATGTCAGTTATTACTTTTATGACAACTAAGATGGAGATTAATGGATTCTGGGGGAGACAGATGTAGGACAAAGGATACAAAGCAGCAGATATGTAGGATGAACAAGTCTCAAGATTTAATGTACAACATGAGGACAATAATACTGTACTGTAGTCAGGATTTTTGCTAAAAGAGTAGATTTTAGGGGCTTTCGTCACACAAAAAATGGATACCTATGTGAGATAATGGATATGTTAATTTGCTTGATTATAGAAACCAATTCACTTATATATATCAAAACATCCTATTGTACATCTTAAATACATACAATAAAATTTAAAAAAAGGATGAATAGATTCTGCATGCAGAGGACTAATGCACAGCTGGTGGAAAGAGAAAATCAAAATGGGGTTCCTTGGGCGGAGGTAAGTGAAATGCATCAGCATCTCCAGGTGTGAAAATCTCTCTGTAGCTCTTCCAAGCAAACAGCCCATGCCTGTAAATACCGGCCACCCTTGAAGGCAACAGGCTCCTGCTGTCACACAAAAAGAGTTCTAGATATGTGGAAGGAAAAGCCAGATAGACGGCCTTTAAATACAAAGCAAACAATGACCGGGCATAGGATGGGGATGAAGAGGGTAAAAAGTTCCAATTGAAAATAAAGTCTTTTTCTCACTTCAGGCCCGTGACTGCCTTCCCAGCTCCCCAAGACTTTCCATATGCAGCTCACCTTCCACACCTGAAAAGTGTTGCCAAAAACCCAGCAAAAACATTGCCAAGGACTGCCCTGTGCTGAAAACACCCACGAGTGAGGCACTGCACCCGCATCTTTACATTTCATCCTCGTAACTGCCCTATACTGGAGGTACCATCAGCCCCATTTTACATTTGGGGAGACTGAGGCTCAGAAGCATCAGTTAATTTTCTCAGATCGTGTAGAGTGTATATGGCAGAAGCTGGGTTCGCACTGGGGTCTAACGCCAGAGCCCTGTGTTCTCTTTCCCCACCATGAGCCTGCTCAGCCCACTGGTGAGAGGAACAGTCGTCCTCATGCACCTCCATAACTCCCCCCTCTCTCAGCACACGGCCTGGCCTAGTCCCCATCCAAGAAACATGTGCTAATACAGGGCAAAGAGGTTTTCAGAAATGGATAAGCTCACACCTCCAGGAGACCCCTCTTCCACTGTGAAATGAGGACACTAACTAGTAATAAAAGCAGGAAGATACTCAGTTTGCTTTGTGCTGCTGCTTTTTTCTTGGTTTTTAGTAAGACCAGAACAAAACAAATAACCTTCTTCTTTTCTTCCTCCCCTACATATGCCAAAGGGGTGAAAAATACTTACGCTAGGCGATACCATCTCTTACAAACACTGGAGACCTTTAGCAGCTCAGGGAGGCACAGACAGGAAAAGATGCCCAAAAGCAGCTCGTCCGGAAGAGAGTCCCATGAAACACCTTTGAGGAGGAAAAACATGGTTGCCCATCACCATTCTCTTACCTTCTCCCATCCACTGAGGCTTTCTAAGATGTAAAGCAGGGGTCCCCAACACATGGTGAGTTGTATAATTATTTCATTATATATTATAATGTAATAATAATAGAAATAAAGTGCACAATAAATGTGATGTGCTTCAATCATCCCAAAACCATCCCCCCGCCCAACTCCTCCTCCCCGGTCTGTGGAAAAATTGTCTTCCATGAAAACAGTCCCTGGTGCCAAAAAGGTTGGGGACCACTGATAAAAAGGATGCACAACATTTAGCTTGAAGGGGGATTTTAACACTAATTGAGTTACTCATCCTCTCAATAATTTTTGTATTCAACCCACTGTCTATGTACCTTGAAGCGAGCACCACACTTCTCCAGCAAATGAGAAAGGAGAAAACCAAGGATATTTTTCATATCCTTCTTCCTTTCCGCTCCAGCCGGCCAATCGCAGGCAAGGACGGTATTGGCAGTGGCACGGAGCAAGTCCCCACCCCTCTCAAGTGTCCTACAATGATGTCTAAGATACTGTGATGCTTCTGGTTGCTAAAGAAGGCTTTGTTTCTCTCTGATGGACTCCGTGGTGACCTAATTTTAAAAGGCAATTGAAGCTTCCTCCCTCTTCTTTCGGATGTGCAGAGAGCACACTGAAGTCAATTTACTAGAAACAGCAATATCAGAAGGGGACTCTCATTTCTTAATTCAACAAATATTTACTGAGCTCCCACTGTGGTGCTAGGTATCATGTTGAGTGTTAGGGAAAGAGCAGCAAATGAGACAGACAAAACATTTTACCTTCACGGAACTTATATTCTAGTGAGGGGGAAGAGACAATCACATATAAAACATTAAGTAAATTGTATGATATGTTAAAATTGATTAGCACTATGCAGAAAAACTAAACAGGGTAGGGGAGAGAATGGAGAGTCCAGAGGTGCATGTTACAATCTTAACACAGTGGTGAGGGAAGGCCTTACTGAGACGGCCATCACTGAGCAAAGGCTCAGACAAACTGAGGGTGTGAGCCCAGTGAGTATGTGAGGTGTTCTAGGTGCTGAGAACAGCATGTCTGTTTTGAGGTACGGCAAGGAGGCCTGTGTAGAACAGAGTGAGCAAGGGGGATGGTAGAAGATGAAATCAGAGAGGTGAGAGCAGCTGGGTCACAAGGTGACCTAAGTCATAAGGCCTCTGGCTTTGACTCTGAGTTCGATGAGGAGCCACTGGAGGGTTCTGAGTATAGAAATGACAGGCTCTCACTGACATTTTAAAAGGATCACTCTGGCTGCTGTGTTCAGAATAGGAGAAAGGTGGAAGACCAATTTTCTTTGTCTTATAAAAGCAATCTCTAAATAGCTATGAAACAAGAATTAAACTCTTAGGTATGACTATATAGTATAAGCCCACAAGATCAGGACAATATGACACTGGCCAAAAAGGAAATGAGTATGCACTAAATACTGAAAGAGTGGTTAGATCAGCCCAGTGACAGCCTTTCTAGTGTCTCTCTCTTCAATCTTCCGCACCAGCTCTAGTGCTATCCTCTACCCCGTGCCCATTTCAAAGGTACCAGTATTTACTGAGCATGTACACTGCGCCAGGCCCTGTGTAAGTGGGAGTAAGGACATGATGGAGAAGTACATCAAGGAGGGTGACAAATAAATATCACAGCTGCTGCCCTGGGTAGTCTTTCTAAACAATCATGCCCTTCCCTCAATTAGAACCCTTCAATGGTACTACCCAGATATTTAGCCCCAAGGCCACACAACTTAGCACGAAGCTTAAAGCTTTCAGCCAGGGCCCAGCTCGTTTTTCTAGGTTTCTAATCTAGAAATATGTTCTAGCCATTTGGAGCTACCTGTAATTCTTAGAATGAGTTATTCTGCGTCACATCTCAATGAGTCAATACATGCTGTGCCCTCCTCCGACTGCTATTCATTTAAAATCAAATTGCTATTGGCCGGGTGCGGTGGCTCACGCCTGTAATCCTAGCACTCTGGGAGGCCGAGGCGGGTGGATCACTCAAGGTCAGGAGTTCGAGACCAGCCTGAGCAAGAGTGAGACCCCGTCTCTACTGAAAAACAGAAAGAAATGATCTGGACAACTAAAAATATACATATATATAAAAATTAGCTGGGCATGGTGGCGCATGCCTGTAGTCCCAGCTATTTGGGAGGCTGAGGCAGAAGGATAGCTTGAGCCCAGGAGTTTGAGGTTGCTGTGAACTAGGCTGATGCCACAGCACTCTAACCCGGGCAACAGAGTGAGACTCTGTCTCAAAAAAAAAAAAAAAAAATTGCTATTAAAGCCTCAGTTTCTATGGAAGGCTTCCCACGACATCACCAAGGATAGGTCACTTATGTACCATAATTTTATTATTTACTTACTCATCTTTCTAGACCCCCCACTAGGCCACAAGTTCTTGAGAACAAGAACCTGATTTTTTTTTTTTTTAATAATCTATTTCCAGGAACTAGCACAAAATATGATATATTCATTCCTTTATATATTTATTAAACATGTATTACATGCTGAGGTCTGTTCTAGCTTCTAGGGATACAGAGATAAACAAGGCATGGTCCTGACCCTTATTCTGCTCAGAGTTTGAAAGACACAGACAAACAGGAAATTTCAATAAACCGTCATGATGGGCTACAGCAGGCTTCAGGGCACTGCGCAGCATGTGGGAGTGGAGTAGTGGTCAGGGAGGCCTTCCTAGAGGAAGTGGCCTCTACGGAAGAATGAGTAGCAGATATGCAGTTGCTCAATTAATGCCTACCCCCCATCTCTTTAGGAGACAAAATTAAAGGGCTGACTGCGGTCCTAAAAGCTAGGGGTAGAGAAATGAAGGCAGATCATCTATACTGACTCAGGACTACAACCGAGGGAGGCAGCTGGAGGTTATGCTGAAGCTCCTCAGTGTGACAACCATTCTGTCACCACCACTAACTTCCCCCAAAGTCAACATGGGCAGAGGACAAAGGTTCTCAAACCAAGCTCCTGCCCTGCTCCCCAAATTGGAAACAAGTCGAAAGATACGCTTTTCTCAAATTTTTCTCCCATTAGTCCAACTCTCTGACCTCTGCTGTCTCTTGCATCTGTAGATCACGTTCTAATATCTGATCTGGCAAAAAATTGCATACTTAGTTATTTCAGATCTAATATGTTGAGATTTTACTATGATCTGCAAAGACCATCCTGATACCAGGTGCATGGCCTCCCCAACAAGCCTGAGAACCACGGGATTGAGAAGAAAAGCACAGCTTTCATCAGAATCCTGGCTGTGTGGCCTCCAAGTCCATGAATTTGGGCGAGTTATTTAATCTCGCCAGGCCTAAGTTTCTTCTTCTGTAGGAATGGGAATAAAAAGACTTATTTTGAAAGTTGGTCCATATTAACATTAAATGATGAACAAGAAGAAAAGATTAAATAACAGCAGAGAGTCAAACCTCTTTTTTGCCTCTACTCCTCTCCTTCCCCCATTAAGTCTGTACATTTTCCTCTTGCAAGGACGTTTTCTTTTCAATGCTGCTGTGAATTTTCACCTACAGGCAAACATCCAAGGTCTGAGTAGGGTTTGGACAAACAAGGGCTGCATGGCATGATTTACCAAAACCCTTCTTAAGTTTGGGTTTCCCAGAAGCAGGTCCTAAGGATCTAATTTTAAGTAGTTTATTTGGAAAGCGATGCCATGAAGCATAGTGGAAAAAGTGGAGGAGAGAGATGTGGAAGGGAAGGAAGACAACTTGGGGTATGTTAATAAGCAGGTTAATGCTTATTCAAATCTTCTGGGGACACCAGCAGACCATCTAGAACCTGCCCCAGAGTTGTCTCACCCGAGGGCATGGGTGCTGGGGTATTAATCCACCAATTGCTGCCCGTCATTGATTGGGGGCTCAGTGTTAACTTCCCAGCATTCCTGATCAGAGAAAGCTCTCAAGCATGGAATCATACCTACGTGCACGTGAAAGCCTTTAGTATGCGAGGAAACGGTGAGCTGCAAGGGGCTAAAGACAGCACCAACAGTGTCCACAAAAATTGCTGGGGAAAAGAAACTGGAAAAGCGCGCTGTGACGTGCAGAGCAGGAGAAATAAATAAATTTAAAAACTTGGTGCTTCCTATTTTATTGGGAAGACATAAGAAATCAGGAAAAATTAGAAGAGCAATAGGAGATAGGTAATTAAAGTGGTAAAAGGAAAATTTGGTATAGCAATAAATGTAGAGGCAAGCAGACCTAGGAACGAAGAAGTACAAAAGAATAGTCCAGAGTTAGGAGGGTTTTGAGCTGCAACTTCTATCATCTCCTGCCCCACTCCTACTTATTCTCCAGATTTCAGCTTAAGTGGTACTTGCTTGAAGAAGCATTCCCACCCAGGATACCACCGAAGGCCCTGTGCCCAGATTTGCACACCTAGTACCTAATACAATTCCTGGCACATAATAAGACTTGATGAATATTTACTAAATGTATTATACTCTTTACTCCCTCTTCATGCAAACAGTGAATGTGCTAATAAAGACTAGTTAATTCTTATGAATCAATTAACTACTACATGCCTAGTGCTGAAGATAGAGCCTGCACTGAATACAAGGAAGTGCTCAACTGATATTTCACAAAGCAATGACTAACACTCTTTATTTTATAAGCAGGCAAGACTTTTGGCCTCTTAGAACCAGTTTCCTCATTTGTAAAATGACAAGGATGGCCTATGACTCCACTTTGGGAAAACATTTCATGGGTGCCTTACTAATGTACTAGTGCTGGAAGCTGGTTATAAGCCACAGCCCCTGTCTGACAGCCTCACTGAGAGATGAACTAGTAAACAAATACACAATCTAACAATTAAGACTGCCATTTACTGGAAACCTTAAAAAGCCTCAGGCATTCATTAAAGCACACTCATTCTAATCTTTGCAGCAAGCTGTGTACTAAGTATTTTATCATCGTGCCCTCTTTCTACCCCAGCATGCT